TTAAGCTATTGCTATTATTGTCGATGATGAACAAAAAAATTTGTATAATTTGAGGTTCAAGCTTAACAGAGTACAACCAACGTGAAATAAACAAGGTTCCGGATGGCCATGAGACCGTCCTCCGAAAGATTCGGAGCATCGGTAAAATTGGTTCATCCATGAAACTGATTCTAGAGCTCAGCAGTTTGTTTTAATCTCTTGGAACTGTGATATAAGAAAAAAGGAGGTCGTGACGTAAACATGGACCTGGATGGGCATAAGACTGTCCTTTGGAAGATCTAGAACATACTTAAAAGTGGTAAATCCATGAAACTGATCCTATATATAGCTCCGCAGTTTATTTAAAAAAATATTAGGAACTGAGTTATAAGAATTAATTTGGGGTCGTGACATAAACATGAACCTGGATGACCATTAGACCGTCATTCCGAAGATCCAGAACATCCGTAAAAGTGTTTCATACATGAAACTGTGAAAAACTCGTGATTTTTTTCTAAAACTTCTCAGTTCAAAGTGTTTTCGAGAAAACCACGAAGTTCTAGAATCAGTATCATCTATGCACCACTTTTACGGATCTTCCGGAAGACGGTTTCATGGTCAATCGGGTCCATGTTTATGTTCCGACCCCAAATCGTTTCTCATATTACAGTTCCACTTGTTTTCGAAAAAACCATGGAACTCATGGATCAATTTTATTGATTGACCATTTTACGGATGTTCCAGATCTTCCAGACGTCGATCTAAAGCCATGCAGGTACATGTTTATGCCATGACCCCAAATTCTTTCTTATATCACAATATCCTAATGTTTTTGAAAAAAAAAAAAAAAACGGGGAGCTCTAGGATCAGTTTCATGGATTGACCATTTTTAAGGATGTTCCAGATCTATTATGGTCCTATGCGTTCTAGGTACATGTTTATGTCATGACCCCTGATTACTTTTATATATGACAGTTCCAAGTGTTTTCGAAAAAAAAAACCGTGGAGCTCTAGGATCAGTTTCATAGATTGAACACTTTTATGGATATTCCGGATCTTCCGGAGGACGGTCCGATGGCCATCCGGGTCCATGTTTATATCCTGAACTCAAATTCTTTCTTATATCACAGTTCCTAATGTTTTCGAAAAAACCGCTGAGTTCTAGGATCAGGTTTATGGATAGTGAGGGGGGCGACTCTATCTACGATGCAGGAAAAATTGTGTTTTGCTGTGGTTAGCTGCGTGCACGCTTAGTAGATAGAAAGAAGATTTATGACGATTTTGAAGATTTCTTGTAAAAAGATGATGCACGCTGCAAGTAGATGGGTGAAATGAAGGAAGATTTTTCGAAGATTTATTCGCTAGTGTGAGATTTGTTGAGCATCTAGAATTGAGATTTAGATGTGTCGCCCCCCTCGATGGATATACCACTTTTACGGATGTTCCGGATCTTTCAAGGACCGTTCCGTTGTCTCCAGGTTCCATATATAGGAACCATGATTGTATTCTGGCTAATTATGAACATTTGTGCCTATTTATCTAAATTATGGATCTTAGGCCACTTGCAAAACCCATAAACACACCTTTTAAAAAAACGTGTAACGACTCTTTTTGCTTTTGAAAAAGTAGACGGCCCTATCAATCTTTCTGCAATGAAAATGTTCTACACAAGGGGGGGAGGTGGCTGTCAAATACGAACAATCGTCGCCTACCTCGCATAACTGGTTCCAAACGTAAACAAGCCATAAGAAACCTACAGCGTTTGTTTACGTTTAGAACCAGTTTCATACAAGATGATCAGCCTAGGAATTCTATTGGTACCATAATTTTTTAAATTCATCAAGAAATGGCTAAGTTATGTCATTGAAAACTTGTTGTTACACGTTTTTCGGAGGCTTCGTAGTCAGCGTAAAGTATTTTACCCACCGTATGGAGTGTTAAGAAGAAATAAATAAAGAATTGTCTTCGGTGAAGTTGTACAAGCTTTGTATGCGGTTGTATGTATGTAAGGTAGCCACCATCCCTTCGAAGATCTTGTCTTGTATGCAGCTCCACTTAATAGCAAGATCAATTTGAGCTACCGATCTGAATTCACAATATCGTTGTATGAAGGGCCAAAAACGGTGGGGTGGACCCGTAAGCAGAGGCACTTACGCGAAATCCACGGGAATTTAAGAATCTCCTTCCAACGATACGATCCAACAAATCGAATAACGCAATTCGCAATACTTATTAAGCTTCCTACAGGATGGTTTGTTAAGAAGGGCGCGTCAATCTCCATGAAACTGTTGGAGTAGAATTCACACCATCACAATCGAATCGGTAGGATAAAGAAAATGATAGTGTTTATTCCCTCCTAGACTCCGGTTGTCATACCACTCCAATCGTCCAGTTCCAGGTCAAATGATACCCTGATGCTCCCTCCCAACCCAGTATTTATTTATATATATAGTAAACATATGTAATGGAGAAATGAAATATATCAGAACATTAAAATACGTAATAATGAAAATACATTTATATGGATAAAAAAAACTGGTATTCCGCAATGAAAATAATAATTATTTTACATACAATATGATGCAGCTCTATGTCTCCTCAGCTCCCAATAAGGAAGATGTAACCCTGAAATTTCCAGGTTATATTATGCAAATAAATATTTTTAGCTAGAATGATACTTGATATGTTTGTGTTGTGTTATGTTGTGGGAGAGCTTGGGATTAAACCCATGATGTTCTGCTCATTAAGCAAAACCGATCCCTCTAAGGTTATCGAGCATCTCAAAACCAAAACACTAGATGGCAAAACATGATTAAGCCCTCACCTGGTATGTAATGAACAACAGAAATACGCGATAATTCATATATTTACGATAACTTTTATAGCACCTTAGTTAAACCGATTGACAAGAGCTATATAGAACGTGAAATAAACGCATCAAAACAAACCATTGGAAGCTCTTATAAAACACCTGAGTTGATCAAACATTGAATAATAGCTTCCAGAGTTGTACAAGAATGTAGTTGTATTGCCATTTGGTTAAAAGCTTCAAAAGCTGCTTGGAGCACTCTTAAATGATTGTTTACGTTCGACCAACCACCAACCACAATTTTGTTGCTAAAAATAGCACAAGTGATAGGCACGTTTATATGACCATAAGGCAATGCTTATTCGACTGCAAGAAAAGTCACTCAAGATGAGCTTCATATACTTCTCTCATATGATCAAAATATGTATTCAAGAATAGAGCAGATGGAAACAGAAGCGGCTGGCAATCTGGGGATCATGAGTTCGAATCTTGCTTCGAGAAACCCCTCGGTGGAGTAGAGGTAAATTATATATAGGTGTTATTAATAAATGTAAACATTAATTTAAGACATATATCATATAATCAACGATAACATTTCTAGATAAATTCACTCAATTAATGATTGGAGAGATTAATTGAAAGAATATCAATCAAAGATTAAACAGATACTTGTTACTACTTCCTCCATGATCACAGAATGTGAGTTATGGCATAATTACATATTTTTTCAATGTGCACAAATAAATTAAATTAATAAAAACTGTACAATCAATTATTTTGGCGTACCACGACAATTGTTAAACTAATTTTAATCTGTGAATATTGTGAGTACTTACACAACGGTTATTAAGGAGTCATTGAAAAGTGCTATAAACGCTTTTCACCGCTTGCTGTATAGTGATTATTTAGGAGTCATAAAAGAGTGCAACAAACGCCTCTCAGGTTTCCTCTCTACTAAATTTCAAAGCAGCTGTCAGGAAGTGTCTGCAAACGTTGTATAAGAGCTTTCACCAAAATAATAAAGCTTGAGTTTAAATATGTATCTATAAACGTTGTATAAAAGTTTCTTCTACTCCTATACCGCGTATACATATAATGCTGTAGTTGAACAGGTTCTCCAAACCAGTGTAAACAAGAGTTTTACAGAAGTTGTAATAAACAAATTGCACAGTTATTATTCAGCATGCAGTTGAATAAAATCACAATGGAAGCGTTTCTTCAACAAGAAATTGATTTTGGGTAAACGTTTTACTGAATACGTTAGACAACACCTTTGTGTTGCAGTTGTATAGGTTCTCCAAACCAGTGTAAGCAAGGGTTTTATAAAAGTTGTGGTGAACACATTGTGCAATTATTATTCAACATGCAGCTGAACAAAATCAAAACGAAAGCGTTTCTTCAACTGGAAATTGTTACTTGGGATGTCTATCCAGCTTTTAACGGTTGACTGCCATAATATTTGAATCACCACTTTCTTACATATGAGGATTACCATTACGATAAAGACTAAGATGGCTATAGCCGGCGCTGGTGGTGTAGTGGTAAGCGTGACTGCTTTCTCACCCCAATGGGTCTGGGTTCAATCTTAGCCGAGGTCGGTGGGATTTTTCTGAGGCATACAACGGTGCCATAAAAACGGTAAGCGTCTAATGTAAAATATCTATCACCCATCGGTCAAATTAAAGGGAAGCTAGATTTGTATGACATATTTGGAATGTCTACGCAGTGTCCTCGGCAAAGGAATTGGTGTTAACGGTGACTCTATAGCTCTTTACTCCTATGGTAAAATCCATAAGTAAACGTTAGACTGTGCGTGAACCATGGCGGACTTCGCACTATCCTTTCACTCCACCGAAAATTCACATGAGAAACTATCAATCTTTGCTAGAAGAGACAATTTTTGACGGTGCTAGGCTATTCAAATGCAATGACGTTTATATAAGGTCTGGGCCAAAGGGCTTATTGGTATTAGTGAAATGTGCAAATGTTTAGTGGTGTTCGTATTTTATTGCAATGTTTATCTTTCTTATTTATCTGTTCTCAGTATGTTGGCAGTGACGTATTTCTATCTGTTCTGAGATGTTCAGCAATGTTTACAACATTTTTGTTTCTAACACCAGCAAGCTGCCTGTTGGCCCAGACCTTATATAAATGTCATTGCTTCAAATGGACCTTCGCTTTTTGGGAATTTCGGACTAAGCACAACGTCCCATTTACATGAGTTATTGCCATTGTATTTCCGTTTGTTTAATACTCAAACATCTGCCTGACGACGGTTATGTAAACATTTCATAAACTATGTTACTGTGGTAATTATTTGTGTTCTTTTACCTCTTTCCTTGTGTCTGTGTACAGTATTTATCGCAAAAAAGAACCTACATCGCCTATATTTGGTTTGAATAACTGGTTTCACATACTTTCTAAAAGTCTTACAAGTTTCACAAACTGTCTATTAATGTAAACTACGGGTATTGTGTTGGTTGTTGTTTCATGTTTCTGTCGCTATATGTGGCAATTTTTTCTCATTTAATGGTATTTTTGTTGTATTTATTTGGTTTTTTGACTAGATTTATTTCTTGTACGCGTTTCCGAGCATGCGAGCCGGTACTAGGAATACATATTTACAGTCACGTAAATATGGCAAAGTGCTTTCACTTAGAGCTAGCGTATCTACGCGAGTACTTCAGTTTTGGTATCATTCGTCACTGGTTGTTGACATTACATCTAGCATCTATGCACCTGACTTTTTTGCTTAAAATTAGAACTTAATCAAATGATCTAAAATTTTACCATTAGAAGGAAAACAAATTTGGAAGCGTCCGAAAAAACATCACTACAAAACTTTATTTTGCTTTTTAGTTGGTAGACTTTCCGATAGATTCCATTCCTAATTGTTTAAACAACTAAGGTTATGGCCGAAATCAATGACTAGATTTGTTTGTTTGTTTGTTTCTTTCTTTGGTTCGCGTCTGTAGGATACTACATTGTGCGAGGCGACTAGTGTTATTCAGTGTAACGCAAAACGACCCAAGGCGGCGTACACTTCGGCGCGTTTCTCATCGATCGCTACGTGCATTGCTGGACTGTACGGATCGAACTGCAAGATTCGCTTTTTTCTCCGGTAGATTCCTTCCTTACGCATCAATGCACATGCTAGCAGCTCCTGGAATAGAATAAGAAATTAACAACATTGCTAACTGTTGCGTTACTCCCTCAACCATACATCATTGATGGGGAACTTGAGAAATTTAAGAATACTACGTAGCGTTCCTTCCACATTCTCCACTAGGTCATCGTAGAAGACTAGTTTTACTTCTCCGGTGAAGTTTTTCGCCCAGGACAGGTTAGTCTGCTCCCAGGCCCACAGCTTGTTCTTGACGAATTGCGTCCAATCTGGAGTGATAACGAAAATGACAAACACTTGAACAAATCCTTCCGACACACGAAAAAGTGTACTTACACCGCCCTTTGGTCCGACGGTATCGGTCTGGCGAGGCAAATCCGACGTGACCACCACTTTGGCGGTTGAACTCAGCTAGAATGGCTTTCTCAGGGTCTCGGATGAGCAAAATCACTTTACTATATGGGGCCCACGCTTGTGGACCCCATTCGTGCGTTTTCACTACCAGAACCTGCAATACGGTAAAGGTTATTGAGATGTCGTACATTCGATGAATACAAATACGGCAGACTAAGATGGGCTGAATATGTAGCCGAAGTTAAACTGCAAGAGATTGACATCCACCTGCGTTTATTGAAAGATAGTTCAAGGATGAATTTTCAAAACCACGAATCTGCTATTGTAAACAGAAATTCAATCGTCAATTTGTCAAAACTCCTAACTAACAGGTAAACTAACTCACCATCATTTTAGGGAAACCTTGGGTGAATATATCAAAATATTTTTTTTTTTAATTTCATTTTCTTGACTTACACACTTAAATCATGGTGACCAGAAAGTCCTGGTTTATAATTTCCCGATATTTTCCGGAATTTTGGAAATGTTCCGGTTGTGCGATATAGATTTTTTTTTTCCTTGATTTGTTTTCCGTCGATCTTGTTTTCCGTGCTGAGCACCAATGCTACCGAAGCCAGGGAGGCAGCTCCCACACCTGGACCCTACCTATCGATCCATCATCAACTCATGAACCGGGCACCAACGGCTTTACTTCCCATACGAAGGAAGGTGTGATCAGAGATGTGTTGGTTTTGAACCCAGGCCTGCTGGGTCGAGTGGTAATCACGCTTACCACTACAGCACCGGCGCCACTATGCGATATGCATTTAAATGAAACATAAAATCGAATGCGATTGAGCCGAAGAAATAGATTAAATGGGTCATTGCTAAGCCAGCAGCATTTTTCCTGGATCTTGAATTTGGTTTTGCGGTTCATTGTTTGTCTATGTTATATTAGTTTATTTGAAAATTCGCTCAAAACTCTGTACAGGAATATTCTCAAGCATTTCATTTACAATCATTTTCCATCACACAGTTCAGATTGGATTAAATTTGAATTTCTCTCTGGGAATCCCTCGAGAATTTCTTCATAACAGTCCAGAAATTCTCTGCAGAATATTGCAAAGAATTCATGAAATTCATCTTTAGATTCTCATCGAATTTTATAGTTATTTTCATCCAAATTCGACTGAAGTCGCCTTGAAATTCCCATGCAATCTACCTTATAATTGTCTTTACATTTTACTCAGAATAATTTTTGAGTTCTTCTCTTTATTCTTCCGGAAATCCTCGTGGAATTCTCTTAAAATTATCAAAAAACTCTTTTTGAGATGCCCTTGAAATTATCCTCGTCATCCCGTTAAAAATCTTCGGAATTATCCGAAACCTTGGTACCTGCCACCTATCCTGGAATCCTCTTCACAATTTTCAAGGAATTTTCCATTAAAATTTTACTTTGAACTCCCACAATTGACTTCGCGTTCTACTCAAAATTTTCGTAAAGTTCTTCCCAAAACTCACTTGGAAATTTTCTATTAAATACTTGTTAAATGATATCATTTGAATTCATTCTAAAATGCCGTCCAAGTGAAGTGCCCTCAAATATATTCTCGTTTTTTTTAGCTGAATCTCGACTAATTTTTCACTGATAGGGGAAATGAATGTAATGTCGGCCTAAATGCCTCCAATTTGGGTCCATACATAAATTCAGCAATCGACTAAATTTTCAATAGCGACCAAAAATATCCATTAGTACTGTCCCAATAACGCGTTCATCTAGATAAAATTGATAAATAGCAGATTTTTAGCGCTGGCCCAATAATAGATCCATAGGACAACATTAGAGTCATTTCCCGTTCCCCTACCCAGAAAAATAAAATGCCGAGCTGTGACAATCTTGGCAATACAAATTAAGTGTGTAGACTTAAAAACAAAAGTATCCGTATAACAAATATTGTTCCTTACAAAAGCGCTATCTTTTACATGTGTTAGATTTTGAAAATGCTCAAATATTTTCGTTAATATTTAGAAATATTTGATAATATTCTCAAATATATCTAAGTAGTCTTGCCTCTTGGGGGAAAATACGATTTTGGAAGGTATACACACTTAATCTAGCTCGGTAAAATCTTCAACAGCCGATTACCTCGGCATTTACTTTTACTGATATCTCTGCAAAATATCTGTTTGTTAGCTGATATCTCAGCAACATGTTATTTGTTAGTTGAGGCTCGACAATTGTTTTACTGAATCTCAGCAAAATAAATTGCAGAACTACTCGGCTGTTGGAGTCTCGGCGAATAAAAATTAAGTGCGTAGGTTAAGCCGGATCTCCACTTTGGGGGAAATAGGGCACCCGACCAACCATTTCGTTAAATTTCTTTAATTTTCGATATATCGATCTTCAAAGACATTCATATGAAAAATCGATAGCGATCGTCACCATTTAATGAATAAATGTAAAGATACTAAAAGCCTGATCGTGAATCATTTATAAACATCTTTATCAAAATGTTGCTACTAATCGTTACCAGCACGCTATTTCGAGGCTACTCAGTGACTGGGTAGATCGCACTCATTTGTGTATGCTGTATAGAGTTGTCAAAAACACAACTAACATTTTCAGCTTTGTAAGCCAACTTTTCCAGCGTTGTGCTGTAAAGTAGCTGAAAAGAAGCTGCAGATACAGCTACAAGCAAAAGCTAGCAAAATAGTTTTGGAGAGCGTTTACTCAACTTTCTCACAACCATTATTCAATTTGTCAGTCGCACTGAATAACATCAGCCAATAAACGCTAATGTCACTTCTATACACACACTACCCAACTTTCAACTTGTAGCTGCAAAACAAAGCTAACAAAGTGAATATATTACTCATTTGATGGCTTCTACACAACCAACCACTCTTGCTGAATAACATAAACATCAAAAGTGCTTTTTCAACAACTAAACAACCTGTACTCAGCTTATAAACTGTGTTAGAGCGAATTCGGAAGCATTTTCACAGTCAACTAGGTTTATTTTTAGACGTGTGCAGTATTACAGCTTTTACTCTGCTCTTTTATAAGAAGAAAATTGATTCATGTGTACTATTATAAAGCCTCTACTCAGCGATTTTGTTGTAGAAGAGAATGTTGATTTGTTTACATAAGTTCAAAGTGTTGGCGTAGCACAGTTGGTAGTATCAAGGTTTGCCAATGAGGTCGTCTCGAGTTCGATTCTAGGTTCCGGTGCAGGGTAAATAATTTGGTGATGATTTGTAACTAATTTCGATTAATTTGATTAACAGCAAAATAAACTCAATAAATTCCTTCATAAAAAGCGTAAACAGTATTTAACTCGGCTTCAAGAGAAAGCTTGCGTAGTGATTATTGGATAACCGAGAAAAGGTTGAATAAGCGCCTTTCAAGTTCACACACAACTAAACAGCAGGATAACAGCTGTATAGAAGCGTTAATGGATATGCAATAAGAGCTTCTCCCGACCGTTCCAACAGCCATAAGTAGCTGACTAAGTTCGCCAAATTTGCTTGTATAGAGGTTGAGTAAAGGTTTCCTCATATCGTATAACGTTTAAATACAGGCAGTCTGTGGTTTAATCGTTGTTGTGGCTGATTCTCCATATTTTGGTTTCATTTAATGATATCTAATTGAAAAAACTACTTGGTCACAATTTAGATCACCATTTGAGGACAACTATAATTTAAAAAATTAAATTAATAAATTAAAGGGTGTATTAAGACTGAGAAATCCATTAAACAAAGCAATTCAATTTTGCTTTCAGAGGGTCACAATTAGCTATTTTAGCTGTAATGAGTAATTGTCTTGAGTGAGTACTATTCCTTATAGCTAATCGCGTATTGTGCCACTCTGGAATCAAAATTTACAGGTTTTATGTGTCATACACAAACTTTACCTCTTCTTCTTGAATCTTACATATTAAAATTATTATTGTAATATCTGATAGTTTCATGATTTCGAAAAGCAGTATTTTAGCTGTAATGAGTATGTTCAGGCCTGGATGTTAGTTTATGGTTTTTTTTATTGTGTTGAGGAAAAATGCTATACAAGGAGCTAAACTGCGGTAGAAACTCCGAATCAAACCCAATTTTTAATATAAAAAAACATTATGCAATGGCATTCGTTAAAACCATTAATAAAAGTATTGATTGAAGCTTGATTGTCAAGTCCCATCCCGGGTTTACACCAGTGTCTGTTTTTATCAATTACCATCACCATAAGCAATGACTAGCGCTTCAACCCAGTGTAGATTAAAGCACTATTGAAAAAGTATGCACGACTGTCATCACAAAAATGAAAAAAAGTTGTTCCAATCTAGCAACATTTAACAATCGTCTATTGAAGAAACGACTTGTTGGCCATTTTATTCAACTGCATGCTTAATAGTACTTGTACTATTTTTAATAATAACTTCTGTTCAGGCTTTGTTCACACAAATCTGGAGAATTTATTCAACCACAACACTGAACTACTGGTGTTGTATAAGGTAAGTCGAGAAGCTTTTATTCGACTTATATGAGTTGTAACAGAGTTTATACGATAAAATTTTTGATTATTCAGCGTTTATTAGACATCACTGCTTCCTTAAAACAGTGATGCTCTGTTTACGCTTGATTCTCAAGTGAAGTAACGTTTAATTAGACATTATTATACATTTATTAAACGATTATAAAACTGTGGGAAAATTAACCCTAAAAATAAGAAGGACGGGAACAGGGGGGAAGGATGTGTTTCTTAAGTGTATTGCATTTCATTATTTCTGAAGTGGCTCGCACCACTCAGATATTAGAAAATGTATTATATAATTATACATGTCGTTGTATGGGATTCGAACCTTCCGATCACCAGCCGCTTGCCTTGTCATCTGAGCTATCCTAGAATTCATCATATGGGCAATTCAATAATCAATAAAAGCTTGCATGATAGTAAATATCTATCAGCACTCCCGATCGCAAATCTAGCTCCTTGAAGGCCCTGTGGGAATGATTAATTCATTCATCGTTGTTTTAAATGAGACCAATGTTGCCTCTTCATTATCGTGAGTCATGTGATCGATGATTACTATTTAAATTAATTATGTTCTACACAAATAAAAAAAGGGTTGAGCTTGGGACTGAACTCACGACCTTCTTATTGGAAAGCGGAAACGATAACCA